ACATATAAAATAGAAAGTTTGTGAAAATGTATAGATGGATGGATGTATGGTACTTTTCCAAGCATACTCGTAAAGTACAGAACGGATTTTGATGAAACTTTACAGTAATATAGCGCATACCTACATGAGAGTAACATATAATATTTAAAGATATACGAGTATGTACTTATACATGATTAAACTAGAAGGGCTCATAAAATTACGCAATTTCTAATGTTATAACTAATCTAATGTTTCTACTTTCTTTCTTTTATGTTACCTTATTTTAAGTTAAAGGTTGGAGAAAAAAAAAGTTTATATAATGACACATAATACAACATTTATAAATAATAATAGTAGCTGAAAATGAAATTAAAAAGACATTCTAACTCGCTAGAATTTACTTTACTAGTTTTCCTTCACTTTTAAGTGTTTTCCTTCCAAAACGGACGTAGAATTTGACTTCAGTATATACGACGGCCGTCTGCCGCCGGCACTGTGGGCTGTGGCAGGTTAGCATACAAAATAGCAACGAAAATAAATAATTTTATCATCTTTGAGACTAACACAATAACAGGTGTTTGTCTCAAAGTTGATAAAAATTTAAAAATTAATATATTTTTATATTTAATGTTTTTCCTGTATTAATTTATCCACTAATTACTCTGCTAAATTCATTACCTAAAAATTAAACTCTAAATTAACTAAAACTAAATTACCTTATCAATAAGTTTTTTTAATTAGATAAGTAATTTTATTAAAAAATTAATTATATTATATCGTAATGATAACAATAGTAAGTAATGTATTAGTATAGCATATACTTAAAACATTTCAAGGATAAGCCACGAGTAAAAAGGGAATTATAATATACCGAAATTATTATAATCAACATTTTCCTATTATGATATATGAAATATATTTGTTTGAAATTAGCCGATACCACAACATTAATATATTTTATACTGAGAAACAGATAATATAATATTTGCTAGTTTATATAGAATGAAATTTATTTAAAAGTTTTAAAGCGTGAATTATCCGACAATAAATGTTGTGGTTACAAAAGCAAGATAGTCGTTATCGGCTGCAGCTGGAAAGGTTCCAGTGCAAACTTATCCACTTTAAGCCCTGATTGCACTTCAGTAATACTTGTTCTTTTGCAGTCACCCCCAATACCAGATTCCTATCTCACAATTCGAAACTATTGAACTAAAGTTTGTTTTTAAGATGTGATAAAGTTATCGCTCTCGCAGCTGTTGATTCTTAGTCTTAAGGAACCACCTACATACATATTCTAAAGTCACTATATAATTATTTATTGTATATTATTAAAAAAAAAAATTATTGCATGAACAATAAGTGCGGATATTTTTAATTGATTGTAATATAAATCGTCTTTTCTTGTTTTTTTAATAATTAGGATTATTTACCATTAGGTACATAAATGTACATAATATGTTATGTTAGTATTTATATAAGTAGAATTTAACTATTAATCAGCCTATCGCTATACGAAGGCCTTTTTTAATGTTGGGAAATGCATTTATACATACAACCTGTAGACATACAGGCAGATATGTCGGATTCATTGGCTAGAACTTGAACACTTTTAAGAACATTATTTTTAAAATCTTTCATTTTAACACTCAGTATTTCAAATAGCTTTCTAAGGTTGCAAAAATACATATCAAAAGTATAAGAATAGTTCTAAAAGTTCTTCAACTCAATTCTACGAATTAGAAGCATTAAAACTTTTCTTGTTACTAAACAATTGCTTATATTCTAGGATAGTCTTAATGTTTTATCCCCTAATACAAAGTTCTTGCGTAACAACGAAGTACTAACGTTCTTAGGCAGAAATTATTATATGACTCTCTAAAATTGTATCATCTATTGCTTTACACGTGTTCAATCATCCTATTTGTTATGTTTATATTAGCTGATGTACAAATAATTTTAAATGCGATCTATAATTAGATTGAGACGATAAATATGCTTAAACATAATAATTGAAAACAAGTATTTATTTTCTTTTCTAAATTTCACCTTTTTTAGCGATTGATACTTATAATTGATCTTCTTATTCTATACGACGACACGTTTGGCTCAGTTTGTAGTGACCCTACTTGCTCTGCCAGCGGTCGCGGGTTCGAGTCCCGCTGGGGGCATTCATTTGTGTGTTGAGCATGAATGTTTGTACTCCAGTCATGGGTGTTTATATTTATAATATGTATGTATTTAAAGTTATATATGTGTAGTGTATCAACTATCTGGTATCCATAACACAAGCCTCGTAGCTTACCGTGGAACTAGATGGTGCTGTGTGTTAATGTCTCAACAACAACAACATATATTAATCTATCTGAATGTTCAGCTATTTTCTATAAATATTAAGTATTGAGATTTTTCAGTAGATTCTTTTATACGCATTATTGTATACCCATACGCAACGATTTCTTTTATACGTATTCTTTTTTTAAAAGGAAACTATTTTTTTGACACCTAACTTTATTGAAAATAACAGACATATCAATCTCGCATTAGTATTCTCGTCCGTTAGTTTTCTTTTGATCCCAGAAACCCTTACTATCCATACCTAGTGCTATATTTTAATTTAAGCTCAGTGACAAAATTCGACGTTTATATGTGGTTTTTTTGTTAGTTTCGTGATCAATTGGTCAATACTTTGTCAAATTAAAAAGTTCATTGGAAAATATTTTAACTTAAAATAAGTTACACTATAATAACGTATATTAGCAAAAAATAGCTTAATTGCAAAATGAAATACTTATTAAGAAAATTATTTATTTCATTAAGTATAAATTAAATTTCTATAAATAACTCAGTAGCTTTAAACAATTTGAATTTGTTCAATATCTCAGAAAGTCAAGATCAATAATTATTAATTATTTCGATTCATTGCTTCTTTTTTAATATCGCAGTTCTTGCAATGTTAAAAATATGCTATAAAAATTCTGACTTCTAACATAACGATAGGTATTGTAAATTTAAACACACCGTGTATAAAATAAAAATAAATACTAATATAAGGTATGTGGAAAAATAAATTTGAAAAATAAACACAATATATAAATAATTATGATCTAGGCATATAAAATATAATAGGTATACAGAAGTAGCGTTTGTTCTACCTATGACGATAAATCTAATATAAGATCTCCGGCATAAAATCGGTAAAGCAACGCATTTAAAAAATAAGCTTGTATGATAGATATTTGTTCAGAGTGTTAATAATAATTTGCTTAATAAAGTAAAATAGAAAGATTATAAAAATCTTGTAAATAGGCTAAGCTTTTTATAGATCCTTACTTAATATTATAAATGCGAAAGTGTGTTTGTTTGTTCTTCTTTCACGTCGAAACAAAGTGACGAATTGGCGTGATTTTTTGTGTGGAGATAGTTGGATGGCTGGAGAGTGACATAGGTTACTTTTTACGGCGTGAGATTATCTCATTCCCACGGGAAAACACGATTTAAATACAAGACAAATAAACCAAGTTTTCTATCTATGACTACGAAGACAGGAGAAAATTAGCTGTAGCTTAAAAATGGCTCTTGCGATGAAACACTACATGTACATGAACATGACTCATATACTGCAATGCAATACGCCATGACTGTAGAGCTATGAAAATATTTAACGGTTTACTTAAGTAATGCAACATGCATGTACACTATTGTTTGCACTGCTGTTATATTAAATATGCATTTTACAGGTATCCTATGCAATAATAAAAAAAATCATAGTATTACTTACATTTACGGGTACAGTGTTAATGTCATGTAGAAGTTATATATTCATCAGTATTATATAACACTAGCAGAACCCGCGGCTGCGCTCGCGCTAATACTCCAAAAAAAATCTCCAAAAAGGTAGGTTTCATACAAACTTTCATCCCCTATTTTACCCCCTTATGGGATGAATTTCTAAAAAAGCTTAAACACGTATTTATTTAATTGTATTGAAGAGTATTAATACCAAGTTTCAAGTAATTCTGATCATAAATATTTTTTGAGTTGTATTATAACGTGTTTTCCCGTGGGAATTAGATAATATCCCGCGGTAAAAAGTAGCCTATATTATCACTCTCCAGCCCTTCAACTATCTCCACATAAAAAAATCACGCCAACCCGTAACTCCGTTTCGACGTGAAAGAAAGACAGACAAACAAACACACTTTCACATTTATAATAATTTGGATTTTGGATTTTCTGAGTGTTGTGAAAGTCATTGTGAGTTTTAAATTATGTATAATAATAATAGTGAATGTAGCACAGCATTTTTTTGGAAATTTATGACAAAAAAATGATATTAAAAAGTTGTTTAAAGTTAGATAATCAACAATCCTTTATCATGTACAAAGTATGTATATAAAATCCGTTGTAGAAATTTCATGCAGTTTGAAATGACTATAACATTTATACATAATATACTAGGTACCTACATAAAAAACTCAATTTTCATATTAACTAATATCTATACACGACGTGTAATCCCCAATTCAGTCAATTCAATTAAAAATGATCTAAAGTAATCCTAATAAGTAGCTACAATTTACATAAAAGTAAAATTAATCATTATTTACAAAAAAAATTATTATCCAAAGAGAACGATGATTAATCGTCGTTAAAAAACTACCATTGGGACATGGCGCCGCGCGGTGGCGACGCGGACGTGGGTCATGGGTCACTTATAGCTAGTGACGGGGTCGATTATCGTACGGAGGGAATATTATTATTTTTTTATAAGAAATATTAGTAGATTATTATAAGTGTAGTTAAAGAAAAATGCAGCGCTAGGTTTCTTTCAGCCGTTATTCTGAGTGCTGAGGTACCTATACTCTTTTTGTACTTTTTTTTTGGAGATATAAATACAAATCTTCAGTAAAATCTAATATTTAATATAAATATTTTAGTTTTAAATTGATTTTTTTTCGTTGTGTTGCAAGGAAAAATATATGCAGATGAAATAAAATATATTTACCCTGTCATTCCAGGATGTGATCCGTTTAGAGACACAATACTGGTCTCTAGTAGAAATTCCAAAACAAGAAAAGGCAGAAACAGTACCAGCGTTTGTGCTGCGAGCTTGTGCCATCATGGAAAAAACACAAAAATCTGGAGAAGGTGTGAAGACGTCTTCCAAGCTCGCAGAAGAAGCAGCTGATAGAAGGGAGCGGATAGAACGACTCAATGGTAATTTAATTAGATTATGTAATATTTTTGTATCATTATTCGGTAATATGGAAGAGCACGTAAACATTATATTATTCTACAAAATATCAAAACATAAGTTTATTGTCTGTGTGTGGCCCTTACTGTATGGTTTGCGTAACAAAATAAAATAAACCTTGGGAAATTCTTTATGACAGTTCTGAGAAAATACATATATTTATGGATTTGTTAATATTGCAACACATCTGGCCCAACAATAATCAATGTGTAATTTCCACGTCAATCAAAATTTATTGCTAGAATTCATTCAAAGCCCATTTAAATATATCACTGACTCAAATAACAAGTGGAGACGGCTATAGACATAGGAATTCCCAGCCCGCTCTACATTTATTTATAGGGGATGTCTTCACAAATACATTTGGAACTTGTCCACTTAAAATAAAAATTAAATCTTTATATCTTTATTTGGCAGACAGCTAGACGAAGCTTAAAATTTTTATGATATTTAATATTATAGGATTCTTTTATTTTCAAAACTTTCCATGTTATGACTTCAGTAAGGCATATGAAGAGAAGAAGAGATGAGGACATTGAGATGGGTAGGGGGTGTCTCAATCTCAAAGGGTTGAGAAATGAGCATATTCATGACAGTTTTAAGATCCGCCTAAAACAAGAAAAATAGTCCGAAGCACTGTTATGATAGTACGGCCACGTATGTGACCAGAAAGTCCTGAACGTAAGCACCAACCCGAAAAAACGAGGAAGTCTTCCTCGTCCCTTAACTTGCTTGTTCGTTATCAAAAATGACTTGAAAAAGGTCCAGGTAGATAGACATCTACCTAACAAAGACTCAGAATAGATACAACTGCCAAAAATGACGAGAGCTGACCCCAAATGATAATGAAAAAGGTTAGGCAAAGGGAGAGACGTCAATAACGCGATTAAAAACTTCATTAGTAATACCTTATAAAAAAATTAATTACAAAAAAAAGACAATTCATATTGAACAGTTTACTAAATATTTTAATAATAAAACATTGATTTTAAATCACATCATTAGTCTTTATGACATAAATATTTTTAAACATTCTATAGTGAATGCTCTCTTTCTTTATCATATGTTACATATTAAACGTAATAAGCGTATGATGTCAGCGTCTTGTAATGTTTCAGACTTATTATAGGCAAAACCTTTACTGCTTGACATGTCTAAACATTATGATGATGCAGTTTGACTGTACATCAATTGGCGTCAAATGTGGCGTAAAGTAGCTGTCGCGACTAAAAAAATGTAAAAATTATCATTAGATTTACATATATTTAAATGCGGGTAAATTATGCGCTCGACGCTCGATTATGGCTTCGACAAACGGCACTTTTTACAAAATGTAATTATGATGTTCTTTTTTCTTATTACAGTGTGTAGGATACATATAAAATATTTTAATGACAGATTATTTTACAATACAATATCTTTTAAAAAAAAAATCCGCACAAATTGAAAAAAATGCTTCTCATCATTTGATCCTTGGTACATTAAAAAAAATACAAACTTAGATCAAACGAAGCTTCTACATAATTTACGATCGTATTAAGATTTAATGCACGTTTGAAAAAAAGAAACCGTTTGTCAAAGTTACAATAATTAAAAATGATAGTAGATGTCATTCACATATCTAATATATTTAAACGAGCAATTCTTGTATACATATATATTATAATCTGAATCTCGGAAACGGCTCCAAGGATTTTTATGAAATTTAGTATACGGGTTGGTTTCGGGGACGTTAAATCGATCTAGATTAGTCTTATGTCTGGGAAAACGCGTGTTTTCGAATTTTCATGCGGTTTCCTTTCGCATTATTTCACGATTGACAATCATAAGTGTCCGGGTTCGAACCCCGGTCGGATGCAAAGGTATAATTTATATTTGTTTTTTTTTGTATTTATTCAAGTTTTTAGTTTTTTTAAAGAAAATTGTACTACTGACTAAAAACTACGAGCGAAGCTCGGTGGCCCAGGTAGAAATGAATGAATAAATGAGTGCTTTAGAGTATCATAAGTTTTATTATGTATGAAAACTAATGAAAAGCATAAACATTTTAGGACTCTTATAAATACTTATTACATCAATCATTGACGACTTACATAAGTAGTTATCCAACTTATGTCTAGTGCCAATATTTCTCAGTATTACTAAAATATGTACACTCTGTACATAAAAGCTATTTTTTCTTATCTTACATGCTCATTCGTTTCGTTAAATATTTTCAGACATGACCACATCTCAGATAGAAACAGAGAACACGCAGATGACTAATGATTTATATCGCCTACTAAAAAAGTATACGGGCTTGAGAAATCTAATAAGAGAACTTAAGGTAAGAAATGTTACATAGTTATAGGCATAGTCTTTCAAAGTCAAATAAAATTACATTGAATTAAAATGTATAGAAAACGCTGGATAGTCGTATATTGAATGTAAAATTTCTATTTTCTGTCTGCCCTGAAAAACAACAATCTAATTCCTTTGCAAACATAATACGAATTAATTTCATATGTGAGACATATAAAAACACAAAGAAAAACTAGATATTTACATAACAAAGCGAATGTGAAGCATTGTAATCGGTTTTACTTTGCAAATTATTGACATTTTATTGTTTAGTTACTGAGAATATTTCAATGGTTTATTGTTCTTACTATGGAACTAATTATAATTATTTAGGCCAAGAATTTTGCATTACTACCCACACATTTTCGTATGTTGATGTTGCGATCGTAATAAAAATGTTTTTAGTATTATTAACAAATTATATATTTTCAATACAACAAAATTGTCTACTTGCCTCATGCATAATTCAGCCTAAGGCTTACTCTACTGCTCTACAAGTAAGTAGGTACATTAATTAGTTCTATGCAGAACTTTATTACCCACCAAGGAAGGCTTTTTACTATAAATAATGAGTTGTACAGTACACTTATTGTAGATACGAGTATAGTAGGGGTTACAATACTATGAATTAATTATTATTATTTTGACTATTAACGCACTATACTTTAAAGATACTTCATAAATAAGTAATTAATGTATGTATCTGAAATAATTTCTATACATATTTTTGATATACATATGTATGTACATATATTTATTCTTAGACAACTTGTTATTTTCAATTTAAAAGGAAACGCATGTAATCTGAATCCATTATTCACTTACGCTTCATATAAAACAGAAGTCCGATTTAGTAAAGCATTAGATTAAACCGCTTTTAGTTTATTTCATTTGATATTGATTGATACTTCAATGCCTCATTACTTAACACAAATCTATACCTACTATTTATTGTACGTAATACACTACGTGAATATAATACAATCCCGTAGTACAGTATTAACTAGTACTAATATTATAAAACTGAAGAAATATTTTTTATTATTTTCATCGTTCTAATCTTTAAAACTACCAAACTGAAAATATTTTTTTCAAACTTTTTTCAGTCAGATTATGTCAGCTCAAAGATCTACCCGATGTTTCCGCGATACACAATGTTGAAGGACATGATAAAGGATATCATGCACGATCCCGACTACATGGAGGTGTGCCACGAGGTGGACCCGTAGCGCGGGGTGCGCAAATAGATGAGGGCTTCCTTCACCGACCGCTCGCGGTCGAGACGTCGCTAGCCAAGACAACCCGCGTTGGAGAATATTTATTGGTTTGGCATAACTTTCAGCTTTGTTTGTATGCTTCAGCTTGTGGAAGAGGCGCACGTTAAGTACTTTCACGTAATGTTATTTAAATTAAAAAAAAAAAGTTATTTAACTGAACCAAATTATTATTATTTTTCTATTTATTTAGGTCTTAAGTAAATCTTCAATAAATGACAAATTTTGGTTAAAAGAAATTAAGTAAAAACAATATATATATATTATGTATTCAAAAGTCTTTGCCGTTGCCGAATACTTTTATGTTAATACAAATTAGTTATTTAAAATTTTCTATTGCGGTTACATGATTCTGTTATCTTTAATTATGTTAATTAATTCTTACTTTAAAATTTGGTTACAAATTAAATATTATAGTCACATAAAAGATACTATTTATCTAGCATCTATATTGTGTGTTGTATGTCTTGCTTATGGTACGTAATACTTTGTGATTTATTACTGATGTACTAATGGATAAGTTTTATTTTAAGTGTGAAAATACTTCTCAAGCTGAAGATTTGGAACATCGTTGGATATGAAAAGTAGTGACTCGGGAAAATCGAATTGTGTTGCTAGCGTCGTGTAGTGTGACGAGTACTCGTTTATTTTGCGCTACTTTGTGTATAATTGGACCGTTATTCATTAGTAATAGTTGTGTTTACTATAAGATAGGTTAGAATTTAAGTACTCGTCCTCAATTTTAGTTTTTTGTAATTTTTCAAAATATGATTTCCTAAATCTGACTTCCCGAATACTCTCTGTAATAATACTTCAAGACATATCCGACTGGAACAAACATTATAACAAGAAAACGTACGTATTTATATATTTTTACGATTTTTCAATTATTATATACATAGATCATAGTCCCTTTTATAATAACATCCAATAGTATTAAACGTATGTAGGTATTAGGAGAATTTAGAAACACATGATCATACATTAAACTTTTTGGACATCGCGTAGGGTAGATAGATATTGCTAAATTATATCTGTGGGGTATTGAAAAGTAATTTATTCTAGATTTTTAATAAGTGAAGATGAAATAGACATACCATTTTGTGTTGTTTTATAGAAATAACTAACTGAGTATGTAAACTTCGTACAAAAATAAAACTGAAACGGCGAACTTGCTTTGTTTTTACATAAATGATCATATACGAGTAGGTAGGTATATCATTTACATATTAATTCTTGTTTATTATAATAATTTTGTAACAAACATTGCAAATGTTTGGCATAAACAGGCAAAAGAGATAGTCTTACTGAATAGTTAATTAAGTACTTGCTCTAAAATGATTATATTAAGCTTTTTATACTTTCCTGTCGACATAGCAAAGAAATGTCATGCATATAAAAACATATCAAAAAAAGTGTTTCGGATTTATAAAAGAATTGATTCCAACAATGTACATAACTTTGAAAAAATATTGAGGTTACACAAGCAAACATATCTCTTAAAAACAAAGTTATTTATGCTAGATTGCCTCGTGTTTTTTTCTATAGTGAGATATTATTATAATTTGAAAATTTATATTTTGTGCAATTTTATTTATATTAGATATTACTATAATATTACAATCTTAATCTTTAGCTTAGTGATATTTTGTGGGTAATGTTTAACTGTCTAATAAATAAGTGTTTATAGGAAGAATAGCTAGCATACAAGCATAGAGAACATTGCGTCTGATGATTCGCATATAAAAAATAATGCCATTGTATGTGTTCAATGTTTAACTTAGACTATGAATGTAAGTGATGTATGGATAATATAATTTCCGTATACTCTAAATATTCTACAATTTATCATCTACTATGGTTCACGGTCGCCGATACAGGGAACCTAAAGGTGCCTTCACACCGAAGCCGTAGGCCCGGCGGCACAACCCCGCGGATTCTTTCCAACAAATAAGCGTAGCGGTTTCATGTCATTGCATTCTAATTGCACAGTCTGATTTTGCTGATGAAACAATTGTACGTATGTCGCGGACTACTAGATACTTAATCCTTATAACATTATTTTAACTAAGCCAGATGACCAAACAAAAATCTTTCAACGGCAGCGACACGAGTGTGTCGCGTTGCCGTTATAACAAAACGCCAGGCTGCACCGCTAAGCCGGCGGCTTAGATGTGTAGACACCTTAATGGGGACCGTGAAATTTTTAGGGTTGTTTGTAAGTTCAGTAGTATTAATTATAACTGTCATAATATCAATGTTTTACTAAAAATGCAAATAAAAATATTTTTTGCGTATATTATCTAAGTATAGTTATAAAGTGTCTTCGAAACTTCTCATCACATGTAGTTTCAAAAGAAGCATATAAATATACCTATGTATTTATTGCCAAATTATAAAAATATATATTATATATGTATATATAACTACAATATAATAACAATTTAGCCCTAAGAGTTTTGTAATCAGTATCTTAATACTTTTCGAAATATGAAAGCATATAGTGAGGCTAAATTATATAACATAAGACAAATCAAGAATCCTTTTTTATAATAATAGTATAAAGTAGAATTATTAAAAGCTTATAATAATAATCAACGATAGCGTCAAATAAATAGCAATTCTAGCTCCCTAAAGATAATGAATGAATAAAAACAAATCAAAACAGTTTTGAATCTATTTTTAATTTCTTCCTATATAAACATACGAGTAATATCTCCATAGTACATACCTAGATTTTTTTTTAATTATTATATTATATTATTTAAACGATATTTAGGTTTAAGATGCTGTAATTATAAGTTATATTACTGCCATTAATTAAGAAAATTAATTGCTATAGGAATTAGGATGTATAACGTAACGAGTAGAATCAAATTTTTTTACAAATTTTTATTTAGTATTTGCGTAAAATGGCTTCAAATATTTCTTAATACTTATATTTAACCACACAGCGAACATGTATCAACCAATGTAAATGTTACTTTTAATCTGCCGTAGTCGTATCTAACATGATTACCATTTGCCTTACGGTGAAGGAAAACATCGTGAGGAAACCTGCATGTCTGAGAGAACCTAGCAAGTTTTCGAAAGACATGTGAAGTCCGCCAACCCGCACTTGGCAAGCGTGGTGGACTATGACGTTAAAAATGGTTAAAAATGGTTGAATACACACATCAGTTAGATGATATATTAAAAATTCTCATACACAAATATACTAACTGTTAATTAATTGATTAATTTGACTGTCCCAGACGTACGAGCATTTCATTACTTTTTTATGTCATCATAAAATAATTTGTTATAATAAGTAGGTTTATCAAAATTCATTACATACAGTACATTTAAATATACAAAATGTACTGTATGTAATGAATTTTGATAAACCTACTTATTATAATAAATTATTTTATATTATTTTCTACCTAATCACCACATTTATTACCGTCAATCTTTTTTCAATCATGTTGTGACGTCTATTTATTGTTAGTACTCAGCCAGGTCATTAGGATATCTAATAGGAATCATTTGTGGTTACCGACTACCGTAGAAATATTAAGAAGCTCTTAGTCATTATTACTAAAACGTTAAACGTTCCAAAATTAATGTAGGTATTTATAATCTATTACATTTTTTTGAACCTTAGTAGTATTAGATATTTAATCAATATCCTATCCATACATATATTAGTATTATTTTCTTGTTTTCCTTAAATATTTCTTTTCTACTAATATAAGTTAGGGTCGTAATACGTTGTGGGGCATTTATGATATAATACATACATATGTGGACGTGTTGTTTTTTTTATTACTTCATCTAGGCATAGACAACATAAATACACACATTTTATCATTATAATAGCCTATAAATACTTGACGCATGCAGACTATGTATATTATGCATATTTATAAACATACAACATTTTTATGGAAAATCATGATCCATTGCTTATAATAAATATTTAAGAATAAAATGTGTTATAACTTTTTTTATTTGTTAGATTAAAGTAACAGTCAATGTTTTATGTAATAGCATAGCATCTGCTTGTATATCATTAAATACTCAGTACTATAGATTATAGAAACAAATTCTTGCGGCTATGACTATAAATGAATAAAATTATAATCAAAATCATACACCTTATTTTCTTGGTCCTATCTACTGAGTTAATGTGCCACTCTTTAAACAGAAAATAAGAAATATAGCCGCAGGTTGTTTCTTAAAAGTAAAACGAAATTATATATTATAGCATACGTTATATATATATATATATATATATATATATATATATATATATATATATATATATATATATAATGAAATTGAAATGCTAAAAAATGTTATACAATAAATAAATTGGTACGTATCATAATGTCGGAGTATACTTAGTATATTAAATATCTGTGTGAAAACGCTTTGTTATAAACTAAAATATATTATTTTTTGTGCAAAGATAGCGTTTTATTTGTATTCAAAATTCAAATAGATAAAAACCGTAGTGCTAGTCAGATAACCCATCCCACAACAAGAAATTAGACACCGCTAATTCGGGCTATCTTTAGTTTCTAACCGTGGTAAGCAATTCATAAAAATAAACAACGCCATCTTTAAAACGCACCACTAACTCATCACCTGATTGCCATATTGCCATAATTGACAAAAAAATTGCGTTACGTAGGTTCGTTTTACCTTCACTGACTGCCCGTAAATGTGTGCGTTCTCGAATTTATACACTCAACGGCTCATGAGTACTTATTGCTTTATGAGATTGATCACAAATCACATAATACTATGCCAGTACAGATGCCTCATCCCATACAATGAAAATGAACAGCACTAAATTGGACTATTCTTCGGGCAATTTTTGTTTGCTTCATATATTTATAATATGTATGTATTTAAAACTTTTATATGTATAATGTATCAACTATCTGATATCCATAAACAAGCCTCGTAGCTTACCATGGAACTAGCTGGTGGTGTGGGTTAATGTCCTGACATATTTATTTATTTATTATTTATTTATTTAATAGATAAAAGATGTCATTGATACGCTAATAGCTAAACTTTATTTTGTTTATTCTAGTTTATATGTGCATACTACCATATGGTAAACATTGTAAAATTAATCTTACATTCCAATTAAAAAAAAGACAGTGATTTTAACCATTTTTAATCGTGGTAAACAATTCATAAAAACTAAAAGCGCCTTCCGTGCATATACAAAAACCCATCATATTCTGTTTGCTGATATTTCAATAATCAGTAAAATTACGCAACATTTACGAGCGCATTATTTCGTTTCCCATCACTTAGATTATTTTTAAATAAATTTAAAAAAAAGCTCTAAAAAGTAAAAATTAACTGATTGGTAGTTTTCATTTATACTATACATACCTAATCAAATAATTTCGAAGTCGGTGCCACCCGATACAAAGCAAAGCACACCGACTTCGAAAATATTTGATTAGGTATGTATAGTAAATGAAAACTACCAATCAGTTAGTTTTCATTTACTATACATACCTAATCAAATAATTTCGAAGTCGGTGCAAAGCACACCGACTTCGAAAATATTTGATTAGGTATGTATAGTAAATGAAAACTACCAATCAGTTATTTTTTCTTTTTAGTGCTTTTGTTTGAAGTCGGTTTTTATTTTTTTGTTAAGAAGTTTTTATTGAGGAAGTCGGTTGATAATAAATAACTTCAATGAAACATTCTAATTAACTATAGTGCCCTCTATTGAGAACTTATTGAAGCTAGCTCTTGCTATTGTGCACAGAGTTTAACATTGTAAACTACTAAGCGTCGCTTATTACTTCAAACAATACATACTAGATGGCGCATTGTTTAAAAAAATGAAAATGAAAACAATGTTACCATATAATAAAAAAATATAATACCGTTGTATAATTTAATGAATTATCATAAATACAAAACCATAGCATAATTTACGATCATACTATTCAAAATATTTCATTATCATCTGTATCAAATTTGAAAATATACAAAGAGTTTAGAATTTTCCGCATGAAAAGTAGCGTATGTATACACAAAAGCTTTACAGGTAACTAAAGAGTTTTAAATATTTTTTGAATAAATAATTTAATTAATAATAACGTTTTTCTTAAATTAAAGTTTTATAGAATATAAAGAATTTAAAAAGTTGCTTCAGTGAAAATGGAGCATGGCAGCACGCGCGCGATTCATTCATGTATAATTTTCATTCGACCGGCAGACGCGGTCATAGTTTGATGTTGTTAGAGTGTGAATTAAAAATGGCGGGATTTCGTCAATATAAAAACTTTATAACAAACTTTTGTACTTTATTTTAATAAACGAAAATCTTATTTTAATTAACAATTCCACTTTAAATTGTATGTTATCATTGTTAAAATTTATTATTTGTGAAAGTTTGCCGATTACGATGTCGGTTGATTTAAAGTGGCAGTTACCTGACATTTTTTGTGTTGTGTGTTGAATGGATGACGGAATAAGTTTAAATTGCCGCGCGGGAATGGATGAATAAGCTGCTCGTAGTGTTTTGGGAACTTCTATTGAGATGCCTTTCGTGCAGCGTGTGGTGGAACCGAAATTTCTCTCACGAACGAGTTTGCGAGATGAAAATGGAAAACCGAGGGTTACGGATGAGGAACTTCAAGCGGTCACCAACTGTACACTGAGCAATGCGCTCCGTCAACTCGCCTCTCTGGTTCTCCTGGCTGAAGATATCTTCAGTGAGCTCACAACGCAGCTTGAAGGAATAACTGAGAGGTCGAAAATTGCACGAACGAAGATTGAAAGAATTCACGAGATTGTTGAAAACTATGACCCTAAGAAAGTTCCAGTTCGTAAGTACATATTACCTAGTGCTTTTTTAATTTTTACCATTTTTATACTTTTCAAACGTTAAAAGCCTGTAAAAATGATTACTGAATTTAGTATATGTATTTTATAAAAATGCCTATACCTATTACCTATAAAAGATAGATATTATGTACATTTTCGAATTAAAAGTACCAACAATAGGTCTTTTTTGAATTTTAAGTGGAAATAAACAAAGTACACTTATAATAACGACGCACATTTAAATAATGATTACAACTTTCGAATTACATGTCATAAAATAATATATTTATACACTACCTACAGTTTTACAGTACCAACAACTTTACATTATAATTATATTAAATTACAAGGAAAAATATGAACATTCGGAAATCTCATTACATCGCACTCCTTAAACAGACCGCCTTTATAAAAAGTTCCATCTTGATGCATTACTGAGCGCTATCTAAAAACCTGTTTGGGCGTTCGAGCGGCCCGCAATGGGAAAAAACATCCAGATTCCGATGCAGACCATAAAAACTTTGAGATAATTTCAAGACCATCCAATGATAAAGCAACGCCGCACACGATCTTGACCGTTTAACTATTTATGTTACACTTCAAAGCTAAAATAAAACGATCAACTATTTGTCGGTATATAAGGCGTACCGAGTACCTACCTACTTGAATTAAACCACACCCATTGGTATGTTCCAATTCAGTTAATCTAAACACTGCAACAGACCTTATTATACGATACCTTGAATACTTTCCCCGACATATATTGTATAAGAAAATGACTATCATTGAAATAATAAAATATACTTTTTTATTTAGTTACTTTTGCCTTTTAAAACTTACCTTATTAAGGTAATCTACCTTACCTACCTACTATATTTGGTATACGATACTTAAACATCCAACCGATAGATACCTTGTTTTTTTTTAACGTTGGGAAATGCATTTACGCACGAGGTGTTGGACTCACCGGCGAAGCCAGTACTACCCGCTAAAACCCAACAAAACCTTCCCCCGTCTTAATGGGGCGTCGCAGGATCGCTTACGCATTCAACTACGACGCCCCGACGGCAGGTCTGCCGAAGTAGAGCACAACAACCACGGGGTTGCTCCAAGGTCCACTCTGCTATCAGAGAAGTACCAGGAGCAACCCGCATGGTACACCGCCCTCCGAAGAGGGCCACCTCCCACCGCCCACCGAAGCGGGCTACCTCCGTGTGCGTTTCTTGGCTTCGCGCCCGGCTGGATTGCCGGGCACTACTGAGCCCCCCCACCACGACAAGGTGAACTCACGTTGGGGGGGAATCGATAGATACCTACTCTAACTAAGTATTATAGTCGACCCACAACAATGAACTTGAAAAGCACAGATGAAGTAACTCTTGATGTATGCTTAATAAAATAAACCTAAACATTTCTCTATTGATGGGCATTAGGTTCACACCGTGTGAATGTAAACATTTATTTAACTGCGCCTATTCTAAAACCAATACGTATTTTAGGAGCTGTATTTAGCTTCTCATGTACATATATTGAAATAATTACTAAGACCTCTAAAATCAATAGTACTAGTTACTCGTAGATCCATATGTATAACAATTTTTTTTATAATATTATAGTGATGATAAAAACATGTCTTTCCATAGGCGAATAAGTAAATATAAATGTTATGTCTTAAGATTTTAACAGGTTTTCCGTTAACCTTTGTTACATTGTACATAGGTATCATTATTCAAGAAACCATAAATAATATTTAACTTAAAAATTGGTATGTGCTAAGGCTAGAGACAGCTTAATTTATTTGAAGCGAAGCAAAAGCACACGATTTGTCTGATATGGCGAGAAAGTTCTTTCAGTGATCGATGAGACGAGATACTTTATGATTGATGTCCATCAGTCACATGTCATAAACGCGAAATCGCAAGGACACGTAGACACTGTGTATTACATATATAGTTATACCAACATTATTTATCCGCATCTGCAATAAAATCATGGGTAAAATTAAAAAAATACATTTTATATAAGTAATAAGTATATAACCCATGTGGACATTTTCAAGTAATAATATTTTATTATCTAAAATTATAACACAAACATTACAACCAATATTGTCTGTGGATTATATAATTATTAACTAACCACGTCCCTTTGGTTTTCAATAATTTAATAATATTACCAATTAAGGACGTAATTGTACCTCCTACGAGTCGACTAAGGTAGCATATGAGTTTAATGACCGATAAAGCCTTAATCGACTTTGTTTTGACTTAGAAACTAGTTCATCAGGTAAGAATTAATGAGGCATTCGCAATCAGATATTAAAAAAAGATTATGTGGTATTTTCAGTAAAATTATATATAGTCAGACGTACCTACATATAAACGTAATTCCGCTAGTATTATAAATTTTGTGAGTACATTTCTTGGTTTGTCTTTTCCTGGAAAAACTGAGTAACGAATTGACGTAATTTTTCGCTCAGAGATGTTACATATATGTAGTATATGGGCAGGAAAGTACCTTAAAGTATTTGTATATTCCTATACATGAAATGGGTTCTTTGAAATGTTCTATTGCAAAATGTGCGGCGTAGGTATGCCGTATGCCACTAGAGGACTGTGTGATTATAGATATACCTAGAGAATAAATAGTCGTCTCAATGACACGTAAGACCTGCGACTCATCATTAATTGATCATAATTTTAAAGTAAGTTAAGCTTTTATTATTTTTAGGCATTAGATATATATTTGTTTTAACTTATCTCTCAATATTTATTTAGTTTATTTTTCTACATATTGTATCATCAACTCGCATCAGATTTCAGAACACAAGTCAACATTAAACAATAGTGTGCCTTGAAGTTCACACGTTTGATTTACCTTGTGAATACCTTGTAATCTTTTGCCTATATTATATAATATGTACTTGAAATGTAATCGAGGTACTATTAAAATGACTTTAAAAGCCACGCATTACGAATAGAAATCAGTATCTATTTTAGGTAATATTTTGGTGTGTATCACACAACTTTAAAATTTAATACTACTTAAGTAATTCAGAAGCTTATGATAAGCTTATGATACAGAATATGACCGTGTCATATAAATCGTGATTGTCCTACTTCGTCTGGAGTAAATTATAGTTTCCGTGGCCCGCATCTAAGATACCGACATCACTCCTCGATAAGATTCAATATAATCGGATATAATGTGGTTAACATTCTATGTCTACATGTAAAATATAAATATCAATTGAGAAGACATGCATAACACATCATTGCATTTTATTTATCTACTAGCGACTCGCCCTTGCTTCGCTCGGGTTCGTCCCTACTTACGTTTTAATGTTCAGTTTAGATTTCTCAGAGATGAGATGTTTTCCCGCAATAAAACGTATCCTATATGTTGACTCGTGGGTAGTACCGGCTCTTCTAGCCGGTGAGCCCCACATCACCACCTGGGGGATCAGGTGGTATGCGTAAATGCATTTTCCCGACGATAAAAAAAAAAAAGGTAACCAGCTATCATCATACCAAATTTCATCAAAATCCCTCCAGTGGATTTTCCGTGATGCGGTAACAGACAGACAGAAAAAAATTCTAAAAACTATAAATTCGGCCTCTGTATCGATAATAATGACTATTTCAATAAGATTTTCCAAAAAATATTTAATGTACAGATTTGACTCAGAATTTTATCATATGTATAGATTACGTAATAATAATTACTCACATTCATTATGTACTTTCAAGATCTATTACAAAATGATAAATTTTATAATTAACATAATTACTAATTTAAAAAATAATATGTTAAACTAGCACTTAACGTACCTTTTCATGACATACAATTTACTAAACTGCACTTAGTAGGTATAATATATTACTTTTTCCTCCGCTATAATTATGCTTGTCCTTTCCCATGGAATCTACTCAAAGTCGATTCAGCCATTGCTAAGAATCACAGGGACTGGACTAAAGGACAATATAACATTCATAAAACCTGTTTTGTTAGCCTCTAAATAATAAGTACATGATACATCAACTTAGGGAAGGCCGTTTGTTTAGAAATCACAGACACAATCTATATATATATATAAAAGAAAGTCGTGTTAGTTACACTATTTATAATTCAAGAACGGCTGAACCGATTTGGCTGAAACTTGGTGGGGGGGTAGCTTAGAACCAGGAGACGGACATAGGATTTTTTAGCCCGTTCGACTGCGTTCCCGTATACAAAACTCAAGAACGGCTGGACCAATTTTTATGATATTTGAATTTTTGGATTTCTCTCATTCCGGAATAGGTTAACACCTAAGTATTAAAACGTCAGAAAAATTAACGAAAAAAAAAAATTTATATGGCTAATAACACTGGCTAATAACTATATATATATCTATTTAAAACGTACCTAGCGACGAACCCGAGCGAAGCGAGGGTGAGCCGCTAGTATTTAATAAAGATTATGTGATGATAGAAATTTGATTGTAAATTGAAATTTATTACATACTAGCAAAACCCGCGGCTTCGCTCGCGCTAAAACTACAAAAAAGAAAATCTTCGAAAAATGCTAAAACACGTATTTATTTAATTTTATTAAAGAACAATAATATCAAGTTTCAAATAATACTGATCATAATTATTTTTTTGGATTGTATTATAACGTGTATTCCTGTGGGAATTAGATAATCTCCCGTGATTAAAAGTTGCCTATGTCACTCTCCAGCCCTCTAACTATCTCCACACAAAAATCACGCCAATCGGTCACTCCGTTTCGCCGTGAAAGAAGGACAGACAAACAAACACACTTTCACATTTGTAATATTCGTATGAATTCTTGGTTCTATTACGAGTACATATGAAGCCGTACCAAAAAACACCGACCATTTCCCTGTATACATTCCAACTGTGTTATTGATTTTTATATCGATTGTAATTAAAACCGATTGATCGCTTAACGCCACAGTCTTTGGTGTCACCTTACGTACCCAATAGTGCCTTTCCTCGTAGCGGTGTAATTTTGCAAGCTATAGAATAACTGAAGTCGCACCGTATTAAGCAAGTCTTCGTCATGTAATCTGAACCTCAGCTTAAATCTAACGGCTTTATACTTACCTAATGTATTTATACCCAAGTAAGTTGCGAAAGTAATACCTTTGAAACAGATTACAATACGCAGTGTGGCAATGATATTGTTCAAAGGACTGTAGTTAGGTAGTCTTACATCAGTTATTTAATGAATATTATACCTTTTTGCGTATTTAAAGAAATATAGCTTCTTCATACACTTCATACTTACATTACTTAAGAGTTCGTTTATTTTTAACTACTACATATAATCTAACTTTGGTACAATTTGTTTTATGAAGGGTCTCTATTTTAGGGTTCTATTATCA